GGACGTCCGTTGCTCACATATTTCAGCTCTAGTATAAGGAAGGAGAGAGAAATTAAGAAATGATCAGAAGCAAAGTTTGAAAACTTGAAACAGACCGGACGCTTCGATGCGCCTTGTCGAGAATGCCGCTGGTATCGTATTCATAAATTAGTTCCTACGTAATGACTCTTTAGCATCGACGATACATCGTTGTCATTTTTGAGCGATTGTCAGTTCACCCGTTTGTGGACCTCTCTTCCATTCGTGCAATGTACGGCTGCTGATTATATCAGATTTCATCGAAGACGGTTGCAGAAACTAAAGAACATCAAAATAACAATGGATCGCGAACAAATAATCATGGATAACCATGCAACAATAATACTTTTTAATGCACAATAGAAATCGGCATCGACAGTGAAAATCGAGTATGTCAACTGAATTCCGCAACTTGTTTTTCAAATAACATTGAAAAAATACTCGAAATTAAGTTGAAATGAATAAGTTGAATATTTTAAAACTCGGTCAACACTTATTGTTAACTAAATTCAAATTTCTGTCGACATCGATCTGAAGTCAAATAATTTCAACTCATTGCAGTTCCACACAGTTCGTGAGGGTACACAGCTACCTAACATTCCTTATAATGTGATATCAACAAATCTGAAACAGTACCTTAATAGTAGAGCCTTGACTATTTGCGATACAACTCCAAACGAATCGATTGTGTTTGAAAATCATTCGAATACATTGATGAAAACACATTCACGCATCGACACGATTGAACAGCCGTTTGAACCACACGAATATATGAGAATGAGCAACAGATGAAGAAATGCAACTGAAAATAACACTGATTCGCACTAAATGATCTGCAATGATCTACTAATATGACGTTATTGACAGATCATGATGCACAAAGAAATGATCAACATGATTCCAATTCTTTCCATCGGTCTAATACTGATTGATCAAAGTACAGATCAAAGACATTCTATGGCTTTTTAGACGTGGATTTGGTTAGGAGATATTAGCTGTTCTCCCTAATTTTGCGTATAATTTTGAAACAATGCCCTAAATCTAACTATAAGTTTCCTCTTATTAGCTGCAAAACACATAGTCTTGAAATCTGTCTTGATGCCGTTAACATTCTAATTAATTTCAATTGTTCTGATTTGAATATTCATGTTAAGATTGAATTAATTGCCCACAATCTAGAACGATTCATAATAAAAATCATCATTTTGTAGTATTACGTCTTCACTGCGTGGCTGCTTGTTTGGCCAATCGCATTCTTAGGTCGGTTTCCAATTGTTTCATCTAAACAACGACAGAAATGAATGATAAGGTTAGTGGCTGTCACAACAGATCTGCTGGAAAGTTCCCGAAATGATAGATCAGGTTGATATTTTATCGAGTTGTTGCCATAGCATTGTTCAGTGCTATGGTCACTTCAGTAAGCTTCAGTTGAGTCAAATACGACCTATCGGATAATCTTCAATAAAGATAAGATAAGAAACAGTCTTGTTGATTGGCATTGATACCAACTGCTTTATTAGTTCTCGTTGAATTCTCAACCATTTTTTGTTCTTAGCCAAATATGCGAGATTGTAAATCATTGTTCTATGCGTAACATAGGTAATTTTCTTGATGGTCTATTAATGAGATCTCGTTAAAGCAGTCAGTAGTGGCAGATGAACGTCCAATGGAAGACGAAAGCTACACAGCAGTCGAAGCACCAGTACCAGTGAGGAGGACGGTACGTTTTTTAAATCAGATATAACCTTCACTAGGTTATCATTCGATAGAATGTAGCCGAAAAGAAGCGAAGAATTGTTGCAAAGTTTCATACGTCGATTTGTAAGCTGTTTATGTTGCAGTCGAAGTGAGCAGTTCGATCTGTTTTTGGATTTTTTTGGTTTGTCGAGGAGTTTAAGTTCGTGTTTTAAGAGAGGTTTCAAGGCGAAAGAGGCAGCAATGTACCGACGAAAATGGTTACCACATGATGAGGACGTTCAATCCGGTAGTGATCGGCCAATTAAGCAACAACGTGACCGCAAGAAAATTGGCGACAATTATTCAAAGCATTTAACATCGAAAACAGGAATTAAGTGAGCTCTCGCCAACCTACTTCTGGCTTTTTAATGTTAACTGTCCGTTACTTGTTACTTGTCATCATTTTTGATGAGAGTTTTGCATTTGAGAACCAGCAGTCATCATTACTCTTAAGTGTCATTATTACTCTTAAGGAGTCGAAGCGATTCATCTGATTCCACGTCGAGCTCGGACAAATCAACAGAGTCGAATGATAGCGGTCAGCAGAGTGGAATCAATCTTGCAAAATCGGCATCCGAGAATCCACTGAGACGATTCTACTGTCAGAAGCCTAAACGTAAGAACAGAACTTTCATATGACACCTATTCAGATCATTCCATCTTTTGCTGTTCGTCTCATGGAACTGTCGATGAATTCGATACGTCGATATGTCAGCTGTTTATGGCGATTCAATTTTTTTCCAGCAAATCCACCTCTGGAGCATGTTTTGGGGTTGCGTTCAGTGAAAAGCACATCTGATAAACGTCGTGAACTCGGCTCTTCGGTTGCATTCAAATGGCCGTTGAGATCTAAAAATGCGAAAAACACTAAAAGGGCAATGAAAACTGCAAGAGGCAAGAATAGACAACAATCCAGATCATGCGAAGAAGGTGTTCGACAGTATCTTACTGATCTACTCATTGTTGATTCTGGATCAGAGCGACGTTCGTATCGCATCAAAGAGGTATCACATATCATTTCATACATTCGAACAATCCAATTCCTAGTGTCATCCATACCGCATCTCAATCATTCGAAACTATTCTAAAATATGAATTTTACGACTGAAACTTGAATTTAATTTGAAATTATAATCCACTAACGCATTTCATTGCACTGACATGAAAACGCCAATAACTGAACAACAAATAGCGCACTTCAAGACTGGTTTTCAATATTTCCTTTATGATTGGTTCTTAATCAAAAACTTTCACCTGGTTTCGACCGGCAATTTTTCACCTACCTGAAATAGGGCATTCCTTGAAAAATCTCGGAATTTCCGAATCAATCGGAGTTGATGCGCAAACATTCATTTTGTTATAGGGGGTAGGCAACAATCGCGGAGCCGTAAAGCAAATCCGCTCAGCATCGTCAACGTCACCGGGTCTGACAACGCCCAGCGTTGATCGACAACGTGCAAATCAGAATTATGGCGGCGATAAAAAGAAACGTTTAAAAGTGCTCCCGATGAGAAAAACGAAGTCTTATCCAGAACGGCAACACCAGCGTACTGCTATGAAAGCAACTCGAAAATCGCAGTTATCAGCTGAGAATCAAGATCCCCAAAATGAGGCTCTCAAAAAGCACCATCACCGAATCCGAGTTGATTCCGATGAAATGCATCATCGACCGCGCAAACTCTACCCGCAAACCATTTTGAAAAGTCGTCAAGGGTACCACTTTAATCCACTACTTCTTCGTTTCAAATCACTTTTTTGACAAATATTCGAATGCTTTGAGGATTTTGATAAAGGAAGCGTATTTATCGAGCGAGGTGCGATTTCATTTTGCCTCTCAACTCTTGATATTTGATCAGGGTTGATCAATGACGCACTACTATGAGATTATCAGGATCACCGTTGGGAAGCTATCCGTTTCTTAGGGCTTACTCAAGACTACAACACTTTCTGCACACTGTTCGAATGAACAGACTCCTACTCTCAGAAAAAATACGTAGTTCTGACGAATAATGCTCACAACAACAGTTACATCTGAATTTGTGAGGGCGCCTCATATAGATGAGCGATAGCACAGCCACATGCATTTCGTGTTGATTAATGATGCACTTCTATGAGAATTAAGCGAACCATTTTCAAGCTAACTGGAGTGGGTTGATGATTGTTGAGGATTACGGTGATTCCTATACACTATCAGATGATGGAGAGGTCATTTTGATTCTGAGCAAACGTGAACATTCAAATTATCTGTGATGTCACATTTAGAAATCAAGCGGATTTTGGAAGAAATGATCAACGTTGTCAAAGTGAGCCATCAGAATCTCAAACTGCAGACGACAGCCCAATTAGTCCAAATCAACGTGAAAAGGATCTACGCAAGTCAACGTCTTCACCTGATCGTCAACGTGAAGAGCCCGCACGACCTTCTTTGTGGAATGCATTAACTGGATTGGTCGGTTCACTCGCTGGTTATGCAGGAGGCCCTCAGCAACTGTTGCAGAAAATAGGTGGAAATACAGATCGTCGAAAAACGAAATCAGGCAATTTGCAACGTGTCAGTATTCGAAATCGGCATCGATCCAGCAATATGCACCAACGACATGGACATAATGCTGCGAGACGGCATTCAAGAAACAATCGTAAACATCACATTAGCACCACAAAACGAACTAACGATGATGCAGCACTACGAATAAAGCTAAGTTCGAGATCAACGTCACGTAAAATGCATAAGACGAAACCTGTCAATCCAGCCACCAACAGCCAGAAAACTTTTAATCGTCACACAGGTCATCACCATCAACATCGCTCGAAATACCGATCCGCAACTGATTAAAGGATGACGTCCTAGAGCAGATAACAAAGCCATCGCGCATAAATGTTTGCCAAAATGAGACTCAGACCAGCTTTCTGAGTTTTTTTTTTCATGCATTCAAATCACATAATCATTGTTACTACCATTCATATTATCATTATCGTAATAAATGCCATAAATATTGCTATCATCATCCTTATGATTGTGTTTACGGTGATTTTGGTGACTTCTTCAATGTAGATTCCCTTCACTATACTGTGGCATATACAAAACTATTTTTATCATCAGTGTGTTTGAATATTATTCAAGTAATAATTCCATCGTAAAAGTCTTCATTTTTTGGTTGTTTCCACTGCACTCTCAAGAAAGTTGCGCGTGTTTTTGTCGCTG